GCAGTGCGTGGGGGAGGGCAGGAAGTGATAACAAGGCATTATCAGGCTGGGAATCTGGGTATGACTCCCCCCAACTACCTCCCAGCTTGGATGCCCCTTCCCCAGGGCTCTTCTGAGATGAATAGCACTTTTGTGGCCAGAGATCTTGCTGTGAGGATGTCTCCAACCAGCCCCAGGGAGAAGGTGGGCACTGCAGGAGGGTGTCCACACAAGAGGGAAGGCACTGCTGGCCCCCTGATGCCTATGATGCTGCAGCCACCACAAGCTGACACCCTCCGGTGACTTAAATAATGCTGCCACAGGCCCATAAACCCAGTAGGGAACATTCATTCCCACAAAGCTGCAGCAGCTACGGCCAAAACCAGAATGAATCAGACCCATCATGCCTTCCTTTCCAAGCCCTTTGCAGCAGCAGGCTGGAAGAGCTAGCTAGTAGGCAGCAATCTACCAGCACTGCAAGGGTTAAAACATGGGTCAGGGGGCTGCCTGAATGTTGCCCTCCACTTCATCTTCCAGTCATTACCTTGGCATCTCCGTATCATCCCCTGGGAGGAGCACACCCTGGGCAACAGGGATTCAAGGTTCCCTCCCACCAGCAGAGAGCAGCTGTGCCACCCGCAGGCCTCAGTCCAGCCCTGGAAGGCCCCTGCACCCAACTGAGAGAGGGAAATTTGGTTCGGGTGGTCTTTCTGGTCACAGGACACTGGCTACAGTGGTCTGGGATGGGTGTGCCTTGGGTTCTGCCAGGGCAAGGGGATTCAGGTTTTGATAAGTGCCAGAGTCCACAGCTGAGAGTTGTCTGCTTCCGGTGCAGAACTGGGGAGGAAGGTGGTCCACTGCTCAAGACATTCAGTTGGGACTTGGGCAAGCTACGCTCCATTTTCATCTCCATCACAGACTCCCTGCCTGACCTTAGGCAAGTCACTTCATCTCCCAGGGTGCCCATGAAACAGGAATAATGGCATTGCCTTGCCACACACAGGGTTGCAGTTAAACACTGTCAGATGCTCAGTAACACATAAGGGGACACATAGGATCCATTAGAGTTAAAAAAACATCGGTCCTTCTATTCTCTCTTCCTCTGTTCTCTTTCCATTCCCCTTTGGCTCCAAGAGCAGCAGCTGTGTCCCTCCCGAGTGGCAGTCTCCAACTTCAGTCTCTGCATTACTGTCTTGGTATCTTGTGCACTTGGCCAGGGACATCACTACCTCAGAAGATGGCGTGACTTGGTTTCCTCCCGACTGATGCACCCAATGCAAAGCTCCTGGAACTCCATCCAGACTCCCTGCCCTCCAGTGTTTCATCAGCAGTGCTGAGATACCAAGCAGGATGGCAGGAGTCACAATTTGGCTCCGTGTGGCCTGCAAAGCAGTATCTCAGGGCCTTCCTGGGGAGAAGGAGGTGGCTGACCTGGTTGGAAAGCCAGTGCTGTGCAAGCCTCAAACAGATCAGATCCTGCTCTCAGCTGTGCTGCTGTGAATCCAGGGCAGCCCAGTGGAGTTCCTGGTGTAGCTGGAATCAGAATCTGGCACAGATGCTTATGGTATCAGCCTCATGAGGGATAAGGGTGTGTTGTCACCCCCCAGCCAGCTTGTCCCAGTGCTTGTTGAGCCATGTAGAGAATCCAGCTGCCCTGGCTTATCTGACCCCATCATAGTTTGGCCAGGTCAGGCCCATGTCCTTCAATAGTCTTTGGATCCAAAAAAGTGGTGGAGGCAATACCGTGATGACAAATTCAAGAGGGCTGCCACTGAGCTGCTTTTCTAGCCCATATGGAGCCCAGACACAGCAGTGATGGATATAGAATCATAGAATCATAGAAAATTAGGGTTGGAGGGGACCTCAGGAGGTCATCTAGTCCAACCCCCTCCCTGCTCAAAGCAGGACCACCCCCAACTATATTATCCCAGCCAAAGCTTTGTCTAGCTGGGTTTTAAAAACCTTTAAGGATTGAGATTCCACAACCTCTATAGGTAACCTGTTCCAGTGTTTTACTACCCTCCTCATAAGTAAGTTTTTCCTTATATCTAACCTACACTTCTCTTGCTACAACTTGAGACCATTGCTCTTTTTTCTGTCATCTGCCACCACTGAGAATAGTCTAGCTCCATCCTCTTTGTAACCACCGTTCAGGTAATTAAAGGCTGCTAATAAATCCCCTCTCAGTCTTCTCTTCTCCAGACTAAATAAGCCCAGTTCCCTCAGTCTGTTCGCATAAGACATGTGCCCCAGCCTTCTAGCCATCTTTGTTTCCTTCCACTGACTTTCTCCAATTTGTCCACATCCACTCCATAGTGGGGAGCCCCAAACTGGACACAATACTCTAGATATGGCCTCATCAATGCTCAATCGTGGGAAATAACCACTTCCCTTGATCTGCTGGCAACACATCTACCAATGCATCCCAGTATGCCATTAGCCTTCTTCAGAATAAGGGCTCACTGTTGGCTCATATTCAGTTTATTGTCCAATGTAATCCCCAGGTCCTTTTCGGCAGAGCTGCTGCCTAGCCAGTCAGTCCCCAGCCTGTACTGGTGCATGGGATTGCTTTGTCCTAAGTGCAGGACTTTGCACTTGTCCTTATTGAGATTTTTTTTGGTCCAATCCAATTTCTCTAGGTCTCTCTGAATCCTAGTCCTACTCTCCAACATATCTACTACACCCCCAGCTTGGTGTCATCTGCAACATTAAAAACAGTGAGACAGGTGAAAGCAGAAAGTGATCGATGAGACAGAATCTCTCTGCCATTGCCCCTGCTTCTGTGTCTGAGGCTGGGCAAAGGTCCTGGGCCCAGAGCTGGCAGGCAAGGCAAGGTTCACTCCAGAGCAGCTTCTCTGCTGTGGCATGGGTAAGTCATACCTGCCCTGCTCCCAACAAAGCCCCCTAAAGTGAGATGGAAAGGGCTGCAGCATGTAGGAAGGTGCTACTTTGCTCCGTTTCCTAATACTATGAGTCTCCTCTGCTGGGGCTGAGCGGCCTCTAGCCAGGCCATTTGGAAACAACAGAGCAAAGGTATGTGAGGGCTGGATTTTGCTGCTGAGGCTTGCAAGGAGGAGGGTGGGGTGGTGCTGAGTCACCTGCCCACATACTGATTCATCACTTTGTTGTGGTACAGGGGAAAATAATGCACCCAGCAAGGTGCTAGGGTAGGTTTGTGATCTGGCACCCCATGGAGCCCAGCAGGTATCAGGAAAAGGCACAGATTGTTGCCAAGGGACCACATGCCAGGGCTGCTGCCTCTGATTCTGGCTTTGTGGTTCATCCTTCTGACGCTTTGCAGATTGGTTGCCATCAAAGGTGCACTCAGATGGGCACTTCCTGATGCCACAGTTTCTGGCCCAGCCAGCTGCCTGAGTCAGTGATTTACACTGGCCAGGGAGATTGGCATCCATGCTGAGCTACACTCATGCTGGTCTTGCTGCCAGAAAAGCCAAACATTGAGCGAGCTTGGGGAAAAGATCATTGTCCACACTCAGGGACAGAAGTCAGCTTCCAGAAGTCCCAAGTGACATGATACATCTCCACAAACCTCTTCGGGGTGAACCACGTTCAGCACTGGTGGGAAGAGGCAGACTAAGATCCCTGGAGCCCAGAGAAACTACATGCACTAAGTGGATTCACATGCATGGACACACACATACACACATCTCTTTGCTGCTTGTGCAAACGGACAGAATCCCCATGCCTGAGTGACTAGGACATGCATGAAATGGGTGCATGGGAGTGCGAACACACAGGAACTGGAGCTGACTGACATGTGCAGACATGGTTAAATGTGCACAGGAGCCGCTGTTGCTCAACAGCTTGTGTTCCAGCCCCTTGGTCCTGTGGGCACCAGCGCTGACAGCTCCGTATAGCTCTTGCACAAACCAAACTGCCTGGGTCACTCAGCAGGGGGTCGTATTGCAGAAGCAGCTTTGTCTCCATTGCCTCCTTGGTCCTTGCCCAGGTGGGAACAGACAGAGACAAAGTCCTTTGGTTTGCCTGCTTCAGGCTGCTTGCCAGCAGGGTGGCAGACAGAAGGACTGCGGGGCATGAAGCATAAGCTTCCAGCAAATGACCCAGAGGTGACACCCGAGCCATCTGACCTCATTCCAGGAGTGAAGTTTTGGCGTGTCCAAGGAGATTGTTGCCACTACAGGCTGAAGGAGTCAGGCCCCTTCCCAGAGCAGGGATGAATCCACAGAAAGAGTCTCCACAGAAGTTGATGGGTGATATCATCCTGCCCTGGGATGAGCCAGCAGCCCAGCTGAGGGGCAGAAGGTCGCAAAGGCATGAACTTTATCTCAGTAGGAATTGCTGCTTGGAAGGACTCTGCTCATGTCTATCCTAAGATAAAAATTTAGAGTAACCCCACTGATGTCAACAGGGTCACTCAGGAGTGACTCTGGAATAATTTGTTGTCCGTAAGCAACAGCTTGTAGAGCCAAGGATGTGTCAAGTTGGATATGGGGGTGTCAGTGGCTGCCTTGCCCGCTGCTGTATCCTGGTCTCCTACTCCCTCACTGTCCATGTCTCAGGCGGCTGTGTCTCTTTGGGTTGGGGGTTTGAAGAGGGAATCCTCCCTGGTTCTGCTAAAGTATGCATACTCCTTCTGGTGTCCTCTCCCTGCCTAGACCCTGGGCGCAGCTCTTCTGGTGCTGCAAGGCAAATAGTCTCTTTCTCATCCCTGGTGTGTAGGCTTCATTGACCAGTTGGGTCTATTTCCACCACAGGGCAGTTCACACAATGAGAGGAAGGGGGACATGCCTCACTGCAGCTCTCCTGGAGATTGAAAGGCAGTAGAGGCACAAGGCACAGTAGCCAGGCCTCTTCTGTGAGCAATGGGAGGAGGAGGGGATTTCAAAGGAAGACCACTCCTCAGATTCTGTGACTGGCTCAGCTGGCGCCCAGAGGTGGGGGGCACGTGGGTCCAGAGCTCTCAGTGGTGGGTGTGGATAGTTTGAAGGATGCTGTGGAGGTAGGAATAACCATTGGTGTCTCGTGCCATCTTCCTGCAGATAATGACATGGACCTGGGCGCTCTCCAGAACAATGTGAACACCACCTTGGACAACCTCTACCAGGGCAGCCTGGAGCAGGAGAGAGCCAGGAGCCTACCCAATGGCAATGCCTTCCCTCTCAGCAAGCGGGGGGACAAGGCTGATGTGCTGGCTGGCAGTGACATGAAGCGCTCACAGCCACTGCTCATCCACATGAACAGGTGGGTGAGGTAGAAGCAAGGCCTTGTGGGAAACTTCAGCCCTCCCTTCTATAACTGGTAGCCCATCTCCATGTCTGGCTTCTCTTCTGCTCCTGGGCAGGGGCGGTAGGTGTGTCAACACCCTGTTATAGAGCTGGGGTGCCCTCTCCAGCCATTATTGCCATGAACCACATGATCTTGGGAGAGGATGGATGCATTAGAGCACTGCAAGTCAGGACTCCTGGGTTTTTCTGGCCAGCAGTGGGAGGCAAGTGGGGTCTGGTGGATTAAAACTGTGGGTCTGGGAGCTAGGATCCCTGGGGTCTATCCCTTGATCTGGACGCAGTTCAACAGTCCAGTGCATTAGAGCAGCCAGTGAGCAGCCCTTCTAGCCCAGCCGGGTTAGCGCTTTCTACATGCATGGTAGAGCTGCTGCCCCTTTTAAGGCTGCTTCCTTGCCTGAGAGCACAGACAAACAGCACTAGGGAAAGGCAGAAGGTTAGAGCTAATCATTAACTCTCTGCCTGCCCTTGGGGGTCAGTGCTCCAGGCCCCACTCCCCCAGCAGAGCGTAGTCTGGGCTCTTCCCACAGGAGCGGAAAGAAGCCTTCCCTCCACCCTCCCAGGGGCTGATGGCTTTATAGTGCCTTTTATTGACACAGCCACCTGTGTCTGCCCCTCCCTAGGTCTCTGAGGGGGGTCTGAGACTGGTAGGTGACTGATGACAGGGACATGGGGGGGCACGTGCCCCCCTGAGATTGGCCCCTGACTCAGCATTTGCCATGTGGACTGGCAGCATGTTGGGAGAGTGGGGGGGTAGCAGAGGGCACTAAGCTGTGGCACAAAAGTATAGGAGTGGATATGGGGCTTTTCGCCTGCCCCCAGGCCCGCCCCCAAATTGTGACTCCCAGACTCAGGAGGCACCAGTCACCCCTTTGCTGGGTGACTGGACCCAATTCTCTGTTCTTTGCATGTACTGCTTCCCTCTTTGCAAAGTATGGAGAAAGAGTTGGATGGATTAGGAATGGCAGGTTTGCACAGGGCTGTGCTAGAATACATGACCATGTCATGTATACAGGCTAGGAATCAGCAGCCCTCCATGGTGGGGCCGAGCAATGCCCTCCTCCTGCCCAGACACACAGAAACTGGAGAGGGGATTATGGTTTTATCTACTTAACCAGGAAAACAAAATCTCTCCCGGAGAGCAGTGAATTCATGCCCTTTTCTCCACGTTTGGAATGTATGTGACTCTCGCGTATCTTGCATTTTTCGTTTATGTGGCTCACATGATCTCACCATGTGCCATAGGCTTCTGACATGTGCTTCACATGAGCTCATCCTGGTTCATGGAGCTGTCTCCTGGGAAGCACCTTAGGACGTTCACATGATTTCATTCTTGTTTTGATGCCTCTTAGTTGTGGTTCATGTGGCTGGTGTGGTTCACATGCCCCTTATGTGCAGCCTGTGTGGTTCATGTGACCTTGGCATGGCTCGTGTGTCTTATACAAAAGACTATGTGACCACCTTCATGCTCATCCCTGCTCCTCTGTGTCCCTTCTTTTTGCAGGAAGTTAAAGGAGGAGGAGCCGCGAGCCTCATCACTTCCATCCATCCCCAACCCCTTCCCCGAGCTTTGCAGTCCCTCCAACTCACCCATCCTCAGCAGCCCTACAGCGGGACAAGGCCCACAGCGTGAAGGCGGCTCCCATGTAAGTGTGTCTGACATGTGGCTTGTTGTGCTGGTCCCAGAAAAGGTTGGATACATAATGAATCAGTGAGGCTGGGAGCCAGGATTCCTGGATTTTCTCTCAGCTCTGGGAAGGCAAGGGGCATAGCAACTAGTGTAGTGGGGTAGGGTGCCATAACTCCTGGGTCCCTCTGTCACTGACCTTGGGTGAGTGACCTCTCCAGTTTCAGTGCTTCAGTTTCCCTCCTTTGCAGAATGGGAACAATGATCTTTGAGTGTAAATGCCACATCACACTCCTCCCCTGAGTCGGGTCTGCCAGGGGTGCTGTACAGTCCCAGAGCTGGCCAGGCATGACAGGGCTTGATGAGGCTGGAGTTGGTTCCCATGGGGACTGTCGGCATGGATCCCAGGTTGTTTGGATGGCCACAGCCCCCCCTGGCTTGTAATTACTGGCGGGCAGCAGAAAGGGATAGTTTCCAGGCACCCTTGGAAACTTTCCAGTGTTTCCCACTTGACACCTCCCCTGCTGTGCACCTGCCTCCCAGCAGGGTCCAACACAGCCTTTTAACTCCTTCTGTCCACAATAATGCATCAAGAAAACCTCAACTCTTTTGTCAGTATAGGCCAGGATACCCCATAGCTCCTCCCTCTTGGGTCTCTGCAGAGACTTTCCTGAGCTGGCACCAGGGTTACGCCAAAAGAACTAGTAAGCCTGCAGTGGTAAAGGGCCCCATCTGGACCTGAACCCCTGTAGCACAGGCTCATGGAAGTCACACTGACTACCAAACCCAGAAGGGCTGCTAAGGAGACAGAGAACAACTGAAAGCATGAGCAGGAACTACTCTGATAACCGGGTGGGGTGCTGTGCAAACAGCCTCTGCCCCAAACAGCTTCACATCCAAACTGCTGGATGTGATGGGGGGCAGGAGGGGGCCAGGCAGACAGAGTAACAGCTGGAGAAGAGGTAGCTGACCCTCTATAGAGATAGATGATCTGATCCACAAGGCAGGCAAGTGGCTGTTCTCTTAAGGCTGTTTTCCCTTTTGGTTTCTGACTTCCTTAGCCTGTTTTTTCCCAGAAGAGGTTAATCCAGGATCCAGACAAATCATGGTCACTAACAATCTCATGACACTTGGCAAGAGTCCAGGGCATTGATTTTGGCAGCCTGGTCAAATCTCTGTTTGGAAAGCGCCATTCCTCCTCTTACACTGCCCCTACAGTTGCATATCCTTCTTTACCCGCTGTCCTAAAATATATTGTGCAGTGTTGCTGTGGGCTGTTCAGACACATTCAACCCCAGAGGCAGCTGCATTTCAGAGGGAGATGGTATTTCTGGCATAAGAGCAAAGTCCATTGGGATTCTTTTGGGATGAGAAACACTACAGGAATGGAGATCCCTGCTGGTGCTTATGTGTGTAGCCATTCCTTCGAGTTGGGAAGTTCCTGGGTGCAGCACAGGAAGGGTAGGGGTTTGAGGCTGGTAGCTAAGGGGTTAATCTCTCCAATGGGGTGGGGTGGGATTATGCTTCTTTCCCTGGAAGTTTCTGGATGTCTTTGGGAGATGTCTGCATCCTGACTTGCTCAGATCTCACAGCCAATTTCCAGACTTACCAGCAAGGAATAAGATTACAATTAAGGGCTTTGCAGAATAACAGCCATAAAGGTTCCCTCGCCTTTCATCTGGGGTGTAGGCCCTGCTGGGTGGGCAGGGGGAGGGTGCTGGGAGCTCTTATCCTCACTGGGACTTGATTGTGAGGTGTCAGGAGAGAAGTGAGGCTGGCGTGGGGTGAAGAGCAGAAGGCAAGGTCTGTGGAGTGCACTTTCCCACAGCATGGCCCTGGTGTGTGTGGTGTGGGCGATGCCCTTCCACACCAGTCTCCCATGACATAGCGTGGCATCTACATACTCCATTGTACATCTCCACTTCTTTCAGGGGTCCTGACCCACCCCCAGGGCAACTGGTGAGGGAGCTGGGGAACCCTTTGGTCAGGGATAATTCATGTCCCCTTCCTCTTGTTCATGAACCTAAAAACCACCTCAGAGCTTCCTTGGGACCCTAAGTCTTCCCTCTGATGGTCCCTTCTGCTCTGAGTCTAGGCTCTGGCTCCTGTCCCTGGCTCCTGGGGCTGTTTGCCAAGTGGACAGGGGGGTGAGCCATGTCCCAGATTCATATGCAGTGAAGTTCTCCAGGAGGCCCCTGCTGGGCCAGATGTCCAAATGGACTCTGAATCAGGGGGCCACAGAGTAACATAACTTAGGATGGGATGACGAGGCAGCTGCCCTGGGTGCTGAATTGGAAGTGGGGTACGGGTGCAGAAAAATATCAGCCACACAATCGCAGGGTGGCACCCAGAAGTCCTTACTGCCCCCATGTGTCTCACTGCCCAGGGTGCCCAGCTGCTTTGTTATGCCTTTGAGACTTCTCAGTGCTTGGGATGGGGCCTAACATACTTGACACAGCCTTCTTCCCCCACTGCCAGCAACACAGAAGCCCCGGTGCCCCTCACCGGCTCCACATAGCCCCAGCCAGACTGAGCCCTCCGCATACTCGTCTTCGCACACTTGTCTCTGCTTCTGACCAAGGAGACTCTTCCACAACAGGCACAAACAGCAGCTTGGTGGCCCTGGCAGGGTCAGGAATCATAGCCCAGCCTCACCTGACTGCCAGTCAGTCCCTCCCCTACTCAGTCGTGGTGACCCCCCCATGGACACTGACTGAGTCCATTTCTAGGCATCCTGCATCGCTGGTACCCTCCAGCCCTTTGGCCATACACAGGCTGCCCTGATCTTGGGTTCAGACCATTCTCCTCCCCCAAGGCGGCATGTACCCTGGGGCTGACTTGAGAAGCTTAGATCCTTTGTCTTTGGCTTTTCCTTGGAGAGGGAACATCTGGCAATGCAGCATGCCCTGGAGGGAAGCACTTCCCTGTCCCAGGGCTGTTAACAGCCCCCCTCTACTGTCTTCCAGGGCCAAGGCGCCATCCCAGAAGGGGCGGACTGCGGGGATCTTGGCATGTTAGAGAGGATCCCACCCCTTCCTTCCCTCTGGACCTGAGGGAGCTATCAGGGGAAGGGAGCAAGATGCATGTTGCTGGTATGACTGCTTACCAGAGAGTCCTAGGGGCTGCATAGAAGGGCCCCAGGGGCTGCACAACAGTCCGTGATACCAAAGCATGACCTGGTGACAGCCTGGACCCCTTGAAGAAGCTACTCCCTGGCTGGCTCAGGACGTGATGGCAAGGGTGTGTCAGGTAGCAGGGGCCAGGCAGGACCCAGTCTGGGAGCTTGCTTTATCTCTGCTCTGATGTGGCGGGGCCCAGACCTTCTGGGTGTGGCAGCTTCTGAGAGCCCTGGAGGTGGGTGGCAAAGAGCAGCTGGCTATGGGAGACTTCCCCTCCCTGCTGCCCCTATAGAGCAGGCAAAACCAGACAGGGAAGGAGAAAGCCTCAAGGTTAAAAGAGCCACTGAAGGAAACCTGAACCTTCCCTAGGAAGGTCACAAACGCCACTGCTGGTAGGAGGGAAGGCAGGAAGGAGCAGCCAGGGGCTGCAGGAGGGGGCTGGGCCATATCGCAAAGACATGCCCTTCCCCTTCCCCCAGGACAGAACTCCAGTGCCCTGCCTTTCACTCTGTTTTCAATAGTGCAGCCAGAGCTTCGCAGTGGGGATCGGGCCGGGGCAGTGGGGACAAGGGCCAGTCTTATACTCATGTCCCACTGCGGCAGAATTGGAGGGAAGGGGGCTGGGATGGGGCCATGATGCCAGGCCTGCTGCCTCCTGGAAATATTTCCTTTTTTTAAAGGGAGAATTGCTAAGAAGTCTGGAGAGGCTGCAGGGCCCTGTGTGCAGCCCCCAAGTTAGGGGGTTTGGGTTCTACCCCAGCTCTGGTCCTGTTGGTGGGCAAGCCCCTTCCCCTCTGTGCCTCAGTTTCCCGTTGCCCTTTCTATTCTTCCTAGTGCCCCTGTCATGGCCCACACCCAGCCCTGCCCTAAAGATCTATTAGAGAGTAGGTTTAGCTTAGACATCTGCAAGAACGACTTCACAGTTAGGGCGGCTAGGAGCTGGAACCAACTTCCTAGGGAAGTGGTGCTGGCTCCTACCGTGGGGATCTTTAAGAAGAGGCTTGATGACTACCTGGCTGGACTCATTTGAGTCCAGTCTTTTCTTCTGCCCAGGCCGGGGGTCGGACCTGAAGATCTACAAGGTCCCTTCCGACCCTATTTCTATGATTCTACGATTCTATGATCCTTCAGCCTTTGTCTGATCAGTACAGTCAGTCCTTTCCTCTGGGTCTCCCCAGCCGGGAATGAGGATAAATCCTACTGTAACCTGTTTTTTATCGCCTCCCACCGTTGCTCTGCCTGGGGAAGTTTGGTGGGGGGTGATGCTTTGCTTTGCTTTGCTTTGCAGTTCAGCAGGTGCTCAGCCCCCTCTGGTGGCAAGCTGGGGGTATGGCAGTGTAGTTTTGAGTCAGCTCCGATCTACCAGGCTTGAGAGTCAGGTTCTCTGGTTATGGCCCTAAGTTATGGCCCTAGCGGGGTTGGCCTGCATGACTTGAGTTCAGTCACTTTACTGCTCTGTGGCCCCATCTCCTTGCTGGGGGTCCATGACCCAGCTCCTTCTTGCAGAGGCTGTGGGGGTTTGACATGGGCAAAGTGCTGGGGTGGGGAAAACTCTGGAAGAGCCATGTGCAATGTGCATAAAGACCTTCAGGTGCTTGGCTCATTCACTGGAGCTCCCCCTGCCCTCCCACAGCTGACTTACTACACACTTACTAGTGTGCAAGCTGTGGCAGGGCCAGGCATAAAAACCAGGAGCCCTGAGCCCTGATCAAGCCTCTAGACTAGTGATTCTCAGCCTGGGCCCAAGGCATCCTGCGGTGCTGTGAGATCCTTCTAAGTGTGCCTCACAATATTAGCACTCTGGGGTGGGCAAACACCTCCACAGGACTCACGAGCTAACCCCAGAGATATCCAATAGGAATCCACAATGTCAAAAGCACTCTGCCCTGCTATGGGCTTT